GGGTGATATTGGCAGGCCTTGTGTGTTGTGTTCTGATTATGAGAAGACTGATGCCTTTCTCATTTGCAGTGATCACGTCAAAGGATCTCCAGAAGCACGGCAACATCTGGGTGTGTCCAGTGTCGGACCACGTCTGCACCCGCTTTTTCTTCGTGTGAGTGGTCACATTTCCTGGGTAGGGAAAGGGAAGCTGTTCTATTTTGCAGAATAGGGAGGTGGCAATGCCAAGGCTGTAGCCTTGGGCAGTGCCACCTTACCCACTGGGACTGGCAATAGCCTTGCACCATCTTGAATGGTGTGGTGGAAGAAGGCAATTTCTGAAGCAGTTTCTGTCTCCCTCACAGGTATGAAGACGGCCAAGTTGGAGACGCCAACATCAATACTCAGGACCCCAAAATCCAAAAGGAGATAATGCGTGTGATTGGCACTCAGGTCTATACAAATTGAGGGGGTGGAGGACCCTGTTCCTTCAGCTTGTGCCAATGTTGCCCCTGCCCCTCCATGGGTAGAAGGGAGCCAGAGGTCAGAGGCTGCCAATGAAGCGATGATAACCCTGGCTGGATGGAGACCTGGATCCACAGGAGGGGGCAAAGGGGCAACCAGCGTCATTTCTGGGCAGCAGAGGCCCCGGGAGCGCCTCTGGAAGGGTGGAAGCCTGCACCTAGAATATACAGAGAGACTCTCCAATGGGGGAACTTGAACCAAATCCCAAGGACAGTTGGGGTGGCTGACTTTGCGCTCCCACGTTTACAGTGACAACATTTTTAACAATGAAAACAAGCAAAAAACAAACAAACAAGAAGTGACAGAGAGAATGGGAGAGAGTGAGAGAGCGCAAATGGTTTTAGCTTGTTAAAATTCTCTTTAAAAAAAGAAGCTCTGATTGCACCTGCACAGACTCTGTGTGTGTGTGTGTATATATGTGTGTTTGCAGGCACTTGTGTGTGTGCCCAGCAGATGTGCCATTTCCTTTATTTCCTTTTGCCCATGAGGTCAGACCTGTGACCTCGACGTGACCTGTTTTTTGTGTGGTCATTGCCCCAAACTTATACACAGGTTAGACAATGCCCTATCTTTAAAATGAATATTCATTCTACTTCTTTTATTGGGAGGTTGTAAGACGACATGAAACATTCATCCTGATTTGCTTGCACCCTGATTCTGCAACTTCCCACTAATCAGTTTTTTATCTCACACTTTTAAATGCATTTCCCTGTCACTCTCCCTAACTGCAAGAAGTCAGGGGTTTTCTTTTCTTTTCTTTTTAAAAAAGATTTTTTTGTGCCAGAGTATTTTAATCCACTTAAATTATACAGGCCTATTTTCCTGGTATGCGATGGAATCCCTCCCACAAAATACTGTCTGTCTGGAAGTGGGCAAGGGCACCAACCCAAGCATAATATGCATTTGTGTTGTCCCTGTCCACTTGTGCTTGTGCTGGCAACCATTGGAAGTGGTTGGGCAGAAGGCAGGGAGACAAACAGCAGGTGGCGCCGGAGCCGATGACAGACTGAGCCAGTGAATCCTTCTTTCTGTTCCGTTCTGTTAGGGCAACTGTGAGGCAAAGGAGCAGGAGGCTGACAGGCAGTGCCACCCCCTGACTGTAAGAAGTCAGGCAGGTGAGGGCAGATTGAGGATGTGCCCCATTCACCTAGATGGATTAACCTCCACTGACATAGATCTGAAAACTGTGGCTTTGGGTCTATACGTTGGACAGTGGCCTCTTCCAAACAACCTGTTCATTAGGCATTCATCCTGATTTGTCCACAGGCGAGGTTGTAAGATCAAGCAAGTGTTTGGCCACACTTTCAAGTGCATTTTCTGGTCCCTATTGCAAAAATTCCCATTATTATTATTATTATTATTATTATTATTATTATTATTATTAGGAAGGGGGTTTATTGCTCTAGAGCACCACATCATTTCAACTGTGCAACCTGAGTTTGCCAGCATGTGGCTGGATCCCGTCTGAGAACAGCGACCGCCTTGAAGTGCCCAGTGTTTTAGATCTCCGTCACTCTCCCAAGCTGAATTGTGTTTGAATGAAAAAGAGACAACCTCTTTGTATACAGGATGCTGTAGATGTGAAGAGGGGAACTTGTCTCGCTGAAAAGCAGCTCAGTGGTGGACCACATGCCTTGCCTGCAGAAGGTGGCAGGTGGTGAGAAATGAGGGCAGATGCTGGCCAATGAGTTGGCCACTCTCTCTGTTCTCTCAGGAGATAATATTGGAGGCCCGGCAGGTCCCACCGGCAGCCTGCTGAGGATGCTGGGTGTTTATTACCCAGGGTCTGCAGAGTAGATCATACTGGGTTGGATGTGAAAGTGCTTTGCTGGGTGCTGTGGAGCTGCAATCCTTGTGGGAAGATGAATGTGATGCAAAAGCACCGGCAGGAGTGCCAGATCTCCCTGTCCCTTCCCTCTTCCCATTCCAGTAAACAGCAGTGACCCTCCTGCAAGGAAGTGAGCAGAGTGGCTCCACCTCAGCCAGCGAGCTGCTTCTGGATAGATGGAGAAATATGTTGATGGGCCCAGTGTCAGGCAGCTTTCCTGGGGTGCTTTTAGACACCTGCATTATATCCATGGCATATGTTGAAAGGGCAAGTGAATCCCTTCACAGTGAGGATGGAGTGACTCCCCAGTAAGGAAGGTTACAGCGTTTGGAACTTTTTAGTTTAGAGAACAAGCAAGTAATCTGCGATGTGATGGAAGCATACGAAATCAGGCACGGTGTGGGGAGAGTGGGCAGAGAAAGGTTGTTATTCTGTAACACTAGAACTCACGGGCATCCAATAAATGTTGGAGGATTTGGGGCAGACAAAAAAACCAAACAAACTTCTTCACACAGTGCATAGTTAAACCATGGACCTCCCACAAGATGCAATGACGGCCACCAATTTGGATGGCGGCAAAGACTACTAATTGGCTTTTTGTAAACCATTTTGAGGTGTTTGGGTTTATTTGGTTACTTTTTTACAATCAAGCGGTGTACAGTGGTACCTCGGGTTATAGACGCTTCAGGTTACAGACGCTTCAGGTTACAGACTCCGCTAACCCAGAAATAGTACCTCGAGTTAAGAACTTTGCTTCAGGATGAGAACAGAAATTGCACAGTGGTGGCAGTGGGAGGCCCCATTAGCTAAAGTGGTACCTTAGGTTAAGAACAGTTTCAGGATAAGAATGGACCTCCAGAACGAATTAGGTTCTTCACCCAAGGTACCACTGTATACATTTAAATAAATGACTGCCAACCATGATGGCTGTGATCTGCACCCACTGAGGGATGCAGGTGGGGAGAGAGGTGTTATGTTCAGGTTTTGCTTTGAGGCTTCCCACGGACCTCTGGTTGGACAACAGGATTCTGGACCAGACGAGCCCTTGGTTTGATCCTGCAGGCTTGCTCTTCTGTCCCTTCAACAGTCATGGCTTCCCACAAAGAATCCTGGAACTACATTATGTCAAGGGCTATGAGAGTTGCTGGGAACCCTCTTTTTCCCTCCATGGAGATATAATTCCCAGACTGATTTTACAATCAACCTCACCTTCCTAGGGAACTCTGTGAATTGGAGCTGTGGGCAGGTAACAGGGGTCTCCTTACAACTCCCAGCACCCTTGGCTCCCAGGATTCCTTGGGGGAAAGTGACAACCACACTGCTTTCAATTTTTAGTGTGGATGCAGCCTGTGTGTCTCCTTCATCTCTCCTCTGCCCCCAACAAGATTATGTGTGTGTGTGTGTGTGTGTGTGTGTGTGAGAGAGAGAGAGAGAGAGAGAGAGACTCATAGGTACACTGTGCCATCTGTTTACCTGCACACTCTCAGCATGTGTGGGACGACAGCTCTCAAACCTCCAGGGGGTGGATAAGGACCCCAAATGCAATCTTATCTGCAAAGCTTTAAGTCTGCACCATTCAAAAACAGCTGCCAGTCTCTATCTGGGATGGATTGGCTTGAAGGGCGTGGCGAAGCATATGTGCTCAGGCGAAGGATGTATGATGGCATGACTCAAGTTACAGGTCCACATGGACTCTAGCAGCTCAGCAGTAGATCACAAGATTTGCAGGCTCAATCCCTGGCTTCTGAAACCCAGAAGCACCCCTGCCAGTCAATGCAGAGACAGTACCGACTTGCATGGACCAGTGGTCTGACTTCCGATGATCTACTGAAGCAAAGCAGAGTCCCAAGACTGAGGCTGCCTTCAGACAATCATAGAATTGAGGAGTTGGAAAGGACTCTCAGGTTCATCTAGTCCAACCCTCTGCAATGCAGGAATCTCAACACTCAGTCCCCCATCCAATTTGAAACCGTACCGGACCCTAATTAGCTCTGCAAACATGATTGTAGTTTTATTGCCGCACCACAAAGATTTCCCCCAGCGTTTCCTTACCTGATAACTTCCATATTTTACATGATCTTTCACATGACATTCTAGCCACTTCTGAAAAACTAGCAGAATCGAGCAGTTTATAATTCATTTCCGGGTTATTTGCTTCTCTCCCCCCCTCAAAAAAACAAAATCCGTTTGCAACCCCATTAACCAAGAAAATCATGGGAGTTTGGCACTGTAATTTCATGTGATGAAATTTGGGGCGGTATTCTAGCATTCGCTATTTTCCTGCCGCACAAAATTTAGCATGGCATGGTGGCACGTTGAATAAAAAAGCCACCGTTTCATAATGCAACTGGCAATGCAGTGCAGGAGTACATTAGAAAGTGGAATAAAAGTGCTAGCATTATAATCAGGAAGACTTAATCCCCATGTCTTACCTTTGTGGTTTGTGAAGGCTTCACAGCGCCAGTGGGTGAAAAGGGGATTAGAAAATACCCTTGTCCCCCCAGTTGTCAGTAAGCACATCAAGATTCCTCTTGTGCAAAACTGTATTTGATTCATGACTGTTGAGAGCTGCCATATTCTGAGTCAGACCAATGGTCCATCTGGTTCACCTACACTGACTGGCAGCATCTGCCTCGGGTTTCAGGCAGGCGATTCCCCCAGCCCTACCTGGAGATGCTGGGGACTGAACCCAGGACCTTTCATGTGCAAGACACATGCTCTGCCATTGAGCTATGGCCCTTCCCCCAAATGGCTCAATGACTAGGGGCTAGCTTGATCAAATGCAGTGGGGCCTTCTCTTCTGCATCTGCCAGCTGACACATTGCTCTTGCTGAAACATCCTCTTCTGCACAACTATTAAGGAGCCCTGTCTGCTCCTTTATCTGGTCACATTAATAGTGCTCAGGCTAGCAGTTTACATGCCAAGCAGTACCACCCAGGGATCCTTACATGGGTGCAAAGGGACCTGTTGTGTCATCACCAGGGCACTTAATGCTTCAGTCCTACAAGCTGCTGCCTCAACATTGGATTCCAGGGACTGGCAATGATTTGTGGCAGTTTTAGAGATGCTGGAACTACAAATGTGGCTATTTGGAGGGTTTGTGGCATCATTTTGCCCAGCGGAATAAAAGATCAGGGTGAGGATTCTAGAGCTCTGGTTATTAATGGCAGCTTTAATAGGGGGTTACAATTGGGAGTGGGGTGAAGAGCAAGGAACTCCAGGTGCCTGAAGAAATATTTATTTCAGGCCTGACACATTTTGGAACAACCCTTTGGGGACACATTTTTAATAGCAACCATAGGAGTTGGCGGAAACCCTCGCCAAAGACCTCCCTTCCCTGGGTTGCATGTCAGAGCCCACGCAGAGGCAGCAACGATGGTGGTGGGTTCTGGCAAGATCTCACTATATCTTGTGGAGTGCACAAGATACTGGGAGATTTCAGCGATACCTTGCGAGGGTTCAGTGAGATCTCTCTGGAAACTGCTGCTGCCTTGCTTTTCTGTTGGTGACAGAGGCAGCTGAGTGGGCAGGTTACCTAGGCTTACCCTGCTTGAGGCCACTACCTCAGCACACCTCACGGGTGCGCCAGCCCTGTGCTTTCCCAAAGGATTTCTCTGAAATGTGTTCTCTGTGAGAATGTTTACTCCCATGCCTAAGTAAAGTTACCCAGTTTGGCTTCTGTAGACCTTTTAATAGCTAATACACCATCTAATCTCCTGCCAACCTAGCTAGCAGTTTGAAAGCACGTCAAAGCGCAAGTAGATAAATAGGTACCGCTCTGACGGGAAGGTAAACGGCATTTCTGTGCACTGCTCTGGTTTGCCAGAAGTGGCTTAGTCATGCTGGCCACATGACCCGGAAGCTGTACGCCGGCTCCCTCAGCCAATAAAGCGAGATGAGTGCCGCAACCCCAGAGTCGGCCACGACTGGCCCTAATGGTCAGGGGTCCCTTTACCTTTACACCATCTAATGTTGATCTCAGGGATGTAGAACCTTTGGCTTTTCAGGTTTTGCTGGGCTACAACATCCAGCATCCCCAGCCATTGGCCATGTTGCCTGGGGCTGATGTGAGTTGAACCCCAGCAACATATGGAAGGCAACAGGTTCCTGATCCCTGCATTATAGGATTACATAATTACTCTTCATTCCTGTTCTCCATCTGCTAAAGAAGCCTGCACCTTTCACCTAAGGATGGAAGCAGAACTAACAGTTGGAAGGTCTTTGGTTCAATGGTACAGCAATTGCTTCACATGCAGAATGCCCCAGGGTCAACCTCTGGCATCTCCAGGTAGGGATGGAAAAGACTTCTCCCTGAAGCCTTGGGTAGCTGCTGCCAGTCAGTGTAAACATTACTGAAGTAGATGCACCAATTTGTATTTAGGAATATAGCTGCCTTACACTATCTCCTAGTGATGCTTTCCCTGATTTTGTAGTCATTTTATTTTATTTTATTTTATTTGAGGTTCAGAGAACAACTCTCAATAAGAGACTCACACACGAACAATCCGGGCAAATTCCCACTGGACTGTGCTTTATTTCAGTCTAAGCAGAATATCATTTAACTACAGAGCTACAGAGATAACAATGTCCATTTTGTCTTTCTTTATTATACTACAAGAAATCATAAGAAAGATCCGTCAAAAGAATCGTAAATCCACTGGAATGCCAAAACTGCTCCCCCTGCAAACCCCGGGAGGCAGCGGTCCTTTTTGGAATGGCTGAAACAGAAAGCCCATTTGGGGTGGGGCGGGGCAAGATGCCTCCCCCCCAAAGGAGTGGAACTCGGTGGGAAAAGACACATGCGCAGAGGCCAGCAAGTGTTGTCCTCCTGAGACCCTAGTTGGGCAGGTAGCCTTCCTACATAAAACCAAGACTGACCAGAAAGAGAATAATAGAGAAAAGGAATTCATTAGATCTTAGCTTTTTGGTGAGTCATCAGTAGGAGTCAGCAACAGCCTTTGTCCTTGGGCATTCATCTGGGGGTGTACTGGGCCTTCAACCCTCTTTATGTGCCCCAATTATCCTTGGGCAATAATTACTTACCTCTTACTAGACTTCCCACTTGCCTTGTTCCCCTGGCTTTTGCTAGACCCAGGTCACATTTTTGGAGTGCCTAGGACAATTTTGTCCTGTCAAAGTTCAGGGATGTTGTCAGGAGGTTACTCAGAGGGTCTAAGCTCCGTATCTTTTGCTCTGGGTTCTAAATCCCCTGCCTCTTCAGCATTAATGCAGTGCCAACAACAGCCCACCCACTCACCATCTTGAGACCCAAATTTGCATTTGTACATATGAATCAACATACGCAAATTTGTGCCACAAGCCTGTGCCCTGAATCTTTTGAGTATCTAGTGACACCCCTGCTGAAGCCACCAATTTTAGGATGTGGTAAGAATGCAAGAGCACAACCCGATTCTTTTTTGGGTGGCTGCACCACTGTAAGAACTGTGAGATAGGCAGGACTGAAGGAGTCTGAGTGGGAATCTCTGCCTGCCCCAAAGACCTTCATTTTGGGGCAAAGTTAAGCAGACACAGTAAAATTGTGAGGAATGTCTGGAGGGCACAAACCTCCTCACATTTCCTCCCAATGGAGCACAACAGATTTCTACCCATTTCCCATTTCCACCTCCCCATGCCTGGGTCCAGGGTTATCAGGTGAGACATGGCAACAAGGAATATGCATGGAAATATTGGGCTCAGCCTGGGGAAAAGACCTTTTCCTTCTTGGAGTAGATTCTGCAGTCCACTCAATTACTGTTAAATTGGAAATTCTCACATGAGCTAGTCTTCATGGAAAAGTTACGTCGAAATGGGTTTTCCATTGCTTAGATGTGACCCAGCTATGTAACCGTTCCACCCAAGTGAATGCGATGGCTTCCAAAGTCATTGTGAGAACATGAAGCCATTTCCTGGTGTTGTTGCAACTGGGGCGAACTCACCTTCTGTATAACCCTTCTATGATGCCTTAGGCATGAGGGTGGGGAAGTATCCTTCCCCCCTTCCAGGCAGTGTGTCTGTGCATGTATATCGTTCAAACACCCATCGTACGTCCCATGCTAGAATCAGTTTTATCTGAGGTGCAGTGGACATAAGCTGATCCCTGCTGGATCAAATCAGGTCACCTAGTCCAGGATTCTGTTCCAACAGCCTAGCAGAAACCCAAAAGCAAGACCTGAGTGTGAAAGATGCTCTTTAGCTCCTTGGCTCTTGTTGCCTAGGCAGAACCAGGAGGGGTCAGTGGGAAGATGAAAATGCCACATCTCAACAACTTCCCAGTAACTTTTAAGAGCAGCGGGATAGAAAGGCATTTGTTACTTGCCATCTTGCTCATTCTAATATGGGTGACAGTTCAGCCAGGTGAGTCTTCTCTCCAACCTGTTCGTAGAGCTGACTTGGGAGTCTGGCATGTTCATGTCATCACAGATATATATATAGCATGGGCCAGAACTCAACCCTGCCTGCAACATTGTTTTTCCTGTGCTCCTCAAATGTCCAAAAGCCAGACACAACCCACCTCTGGATCAGGAGCTGGCTGCCAGATTTCCATCAGTACCTAATTTGGGGAAAGGGCTTCTCTGGAGTGCTGGGAGCTCTCATCCAGAAGTTCAAATCCTATATTCCCAGAAATGTAGGAGACTTTTTAGTGAGTAAATGGAGAAGGGAAGGCACACTTGCTCCTATGTCTGTCTGTCTGCCTCTCTTGCAAACGGGACACGATCTGCATATGGCAAACAGTTCCAGCAGACTCAGTGTCTGAGTTCCAGAACCCTGTTGCCTTTTGAAACAATGAATGGCGTCTTATTTCAGCAAAGCGTCAGCTCAAATTACGCACAGTTGCCCCCATACCAGGGACACCCCACATAAATAATAATGTCCAGAACAAATCTTTAATGGGTACACATTTTCTCCCATTTAAATAACTTCAATCCCCACTCATCACATCCAAGAACTAGGCAGTGGGTACAAAGGAGATCTCAGGCTCATATATATACCCTTGGGAGGTTTGCATTGGCCTGAGCCTGCAAAGTCGTCTTCTTTGAGCCTCCCCGCCGTGAGAATTTCTGCTTGCAGGAAACGATGAATGGGATATGTATCTAGTGAGTTTTGGAGAATGGCAAGGGAGAAGGGCAGGACAGACCAGCTTTGGCATCAGAGGTAGCTTTGCAATAAGAAACACTCCTACAGTTTCCACCCCATGCATCCCTTCAAAGGTAGCAATAAGACTATGGTAGCAAAAAAGTAGCCCTTAGAGACGGCAGTCACTGCTGTAGGCTGTTTGTGCTCTATGGGAGCTGGGGGAGAGAGGGTTAGAGCTATGAGAGCTGGAGTCAATGGAATAGTGGGTCTTGGGGAAAGACCCTGTAGACATGGTTAGTTTAAGATGGGGAGAGGCCAAAGTATGCCCTCCATCCTGTCTCTTGCACATCTAAGTTTTCTCTATCCTGCTCCCTGCATGGAACCCAGTGTCCATGACTGTTAATCTGTGGATTCTTTTTAAAAACAACAACAAAATAAAATGGTGCTTGGATAAGGCTGAGCGCCCATCTTGGTGGGCATTTGGCTATGATGAGAAGTACTAGCTGGAGCCTGTGGATTAAAATGGCGGCTGCAGCAGGAGCCAGAGCAGGTCGAGGAGAGGGGAGTGAGAACCGCTGAAAACCGCACCTAGAGAACCACACCTAGAGCCAAGTCAGGGATGATGGAGGCTCCAGGCTGCAATTGAAAGAGACAGTCTTCCTTA